CTAGCCGGCCGCTCTGCGGTTGATAGGGAGTTTCTGTATATAGAAGAAGGTGCGTGCGCCTGTTGGCGAGGGTGAGGATGAGGTTCCTCCTCCTCCTCCTCCTCCTCCTCCTCCTCCTCCTCCTCCTCCTCCTCCTCCTCCTCCATCCTTCTCTTGCCTCCGTCTGTCGTCCTCCACCCCACAGCTCCATCATCTTCTCCTCCTCCTCCTCCTCCTCCTCCTCCTCCTCCTCCTCCTCCTCCTCCTCCTCCTCCTCCTCCTCCTCATTCCTCCTCTGGGCACCTCCCCCGGGGCGCGGATCCACCGGATCTGTCCGGATCTGTCCGGAAACGGTGCCGGAGGCCGCTCTGGGCTCCTCTGGGCATCCCCCCCGGGGCCCGTTTTGTGAGGATGTCTCAGGCGAGGGCGCCGGTTTGGGATTCGTCACCGGTTCCAGCGGATCCAGCGGATCCGTCCGGAAACGGTGCCGGAGGCCGCTCTGGGCTCCTCTGGGCATCCCCCCCGGCGCCCGTTTTGCGAGGATGTCTCAGGCGAGGGCGCCGGTTTGGGATTCGTCACCGGATCCAGCGGATCCAGCGGATCCGTCGGAAACGGCGGGAGGCCGCCTCTGTTAGGTCTTCTGGGCTTTTTCCCCACTGGGTTCCGTTATTTGTGAGGATGTCTCAGGCGAGGGCGCCGGTTTGGGATTCGTCACCGGATCCAGCGGATCCAGCGGATCCAGCGGATCCGTCCGGAAACGGTGCCGGAGGCCGCTCTGGGCTCCTCTGGGCATCCCCCCCGGGGCCCGTTTTGTGAGGATGTCTCAGGCGAGGGCGCCGGTTTGGGATTCGTCACCGGATCCAGCGGATCCAGCGGATCCGTCCGGAAACGGTGCCGGAGGCCGCTCTGGGCTCGCGCTCTTCGCGCCGGGGGTGAGGATGACGTGAGTTCCACAGAAACTCCCTCAAATGATGCGCTCTGCTATGCTATGCTCTGATATGCTGCGCTACGCTATGCTATGCAAAGCTGTGATATGAGACTGCAATCTGAAATGATTTGATATGCTATGTTATGGCATGAAATGATGTAGTATGCTATGATATGACATGATTTGGTATGCTATGCGATACTGCGATGTGATATGCAAAGCAATGGAACCCTCCACGGGGGCCCCGGCGCGGCCTACACCAACATGTTTTCCCGCGGAGCCTTCCGGGAACTTGGCGCTCGCCGCCGCTCCGACGTAGAGACCGACTAGGAGGAGGAGGGCCCGCGCAAGACCACCGAGCATTCCCCAGTCTCTAGAGCTCAGGGATGCTTGCGCTTGGTGACCGTGACGCGCTTGTCGCCCTTGCGGACCGTGCCGCGCTTGTCGCCCTTGCGGACCGTGCCGCCCTTGCTGGCCGTGCCGCCCTTGCTGACCGTGCCGCCCTTGCTGGTAGCGCCGCCCTTGTCGACCGTGCCGCCCTTGCTGACAGCGCCGCCCTTGCCGACCGTGCCGCCCTTGTCGCCCTTGCGGACCGTGCCGCGCTTGTCGCCCTTGCGGGCCGTGCCGCCCTTGCTGGCCGTGCCGCCCTTGCTGACCGTGCCGCCCTTGCTGGTAGCGCCGCCCTTGTCGACCGTGCCGCCCTTGCGGACTGTGCCGCCCTTGATGACCGTGTCGCCCTTGCTGACAGCGCCGCCCTTGCCGACCGTGCCGCCCTTGTCGCCCTTGGCCCCCGTGCGATCAGCCCCGTCCGCTGGCGGCTTCCAGCGCCGCGTCTCAATCGCTTCGTTCGCCTGCCAATTGAGACCGATGAGGTGACCCTCCCACCATTGGTCAGTAGCACGCGTGTGCCACGTTTTGAGCTCCGTGAAACATTTCCGGGCGGGCTGGGACGGCGCCCTGCGCGCCATCTCCGGCAATGATCTCGGGCTGAACTAGGGAGCTCGTAGTCGTGAACTCGGGAATCGTTTGAGCCCTAATTGTGACGGTCAGTTGGTATCATGATGATATGTTCATGACGAAATCGCATGCGTGAACATGCATTGTTCTACATGGTGTACATTCCATAATGATGTACGCAGGTTGGTTCGACATTGAGATGGTGAGGGGTGGGATGGAGATGGGCGGGGTGGTGAATATACGGGGATGGAGAATGGATGTGCAAGAGGCAGGGATGCGGACGGTGACCCGATGGCATAGCTCACTTGTTTTTGTTTTGCGCGCGTGTCTAACAGCAAGTAGTTAATTTTCGGTTTGCATAAAAATATTCGGATTGCGCGAAATTCAATTTTGGGTAATGTATCGAATTTCTGGTTTGTGAATTATCCGTATTGTTGGAATTATTGGCGTGGCATTCCAAGATGAGGTTCCTGGGGATAAATTAGTTATCGTGGACCGGGGCGCCTCAAGACATACCAGTATGATATTGAAGGGGCCCTGGGACACACAGATAAATACGCACAAAAAACAAAACCAAAAAAACATATTTTCTGGGTTTTTGTCTCCCCCCCCCCTTCCCATAATTTCCCATACTTCCTTTGGGAATCGACGATTCATTGTGTCTGTGTGTTTCTTCCCCTCCGGAATACCAACATGAGATGTCCTCCTCGGAGGCCCCCGCTCGACCCGCACGCACAGCCGGCCCGGCTTGGTCAGGACACGCGAGAGGACCACAGCTGCTTCCGAGGGCCGCGCCTTGCCAGCCTCGAACGCATCCCTATCCCTAAGATTGGCGCGCCGAAAGGCGATGACAATCTCAGGGGTCCGCCCTCAAAAAATCCTGGAGCCGCTTTTGTTGCCGTTTCCGGTCGCCGTTGTTCTGCCGTGCCCATTTTCAATTGTATTTTTTTGTCGGAAGCGGTGAAACAACGGCCCTGCCGTTTCCGGGGCCCACTAATTACCAGCCTCGAACGTATCCCTATCCCTAAGATTGGCACGCCGAAAGGCGATGACAATCTCAGGGATCCGCCCTCAAAAAATAAGGGAATCCCTAAGATTGGCATCGTGATGAGGAGGTGCCCAGCCTAGGGATACAGATGTGCTCCAGGCCGGCAAGCGTCGCCACAGGAGTGTGAGAAGGCACGTGTCGCGAGGCGCAGGACACGAGGGTACCCTCGAGCTGGCAGGGTCGACCTACTGATCCGGGCCGACTGTAGGCAGTGGTGACCGCCGAAGGGGATGGCGCTCGACCGACCCTGGCAGGGTCTCACCCTGCTCGCACGAGCTGGTCCCGACAATGTAGCAGTAGACGACTTGCTCCTGAGAAACCAAAAAGCCGATCCGGCGTGTGAGTCCTCAAAGAGCCTGAGCTACAGCCTACAGCCTGAGCTTTCAGTTCTGCTGGGCATGGGCCCAATCACTGGGCCCAGGCATCGGCACCGGCGCCCAACCTGACGAACCAACAACACACACCCATACCCATAGGGGGATCGGAGAGAGCTATGGGTGCGTGTTGTCGGATGGGGGTCCCCGCTCGAACGGGAGCGTTCCCCAGGGTCCGACAACCCGCACCCATACCCATAGCCAGTCCTCCTGCCCTATGGGTATGGGTGCGTGTTGTCCGTTCGTCACAACCTGGCCGAGCCAGGAGGGCGGTCGCAAGCATCCCTGGAGGAGCCGCGAAGACACTGACGCCGCTGCTCCCTGGGCCTCCCCCGGGGTGCTCTCAGACCGGAACTCCGTGGCGAGCCGAGCGCTGGCGCCCGGGGCTCCCAGGAGGCCCCGGGAGGCGAAAACGATGCGAGAGCAGCGGCATCAGTGCCCTTCTCCTCCTCCTGAGGTTCTGGGCTCGAAGGGTGGGCCAGGCCAGGATAGGATAGTAGGAGGAGGAGGGAAGAGGAGGAGGAGGAGGAGGAGGAGGAGGAGGGGGAGGAGGAGGAGGAGGAGGAGGAGGAGGAGAGGAGGAAGAGGAAGAGGAAGAGGAGGAGGAGGAGGAGGGGGGGGAGGAGGAGGCGAGTTGGAGGCGTCCCCCTGGAGGTGAGAGGGGGATGGCGGGTGGCCGTCCGCGCGCGGGGCGGGGGCGCGGCGGGCTCTCCGCCTCAGGGCGTGCGCGGCAGCAACGGGGGGGAGACGGGGGGGCGAAGAGGGCGGCGAGGGGGGAGGAAAGGGGGGCGCAGGGAGAAGGCAAGCGCTAGGTCGGGCCTATCCCCCTACAGGGGGATTCAAAATAATACAAGAAAAGTCTGGGGACTATTTGTTTTAGTACTTTTTGATTTTTTGGGGGCATTTTTGGGGGGCGCGGGGATACAGTCAAAACGTAGATTAAGGACGCGTGTTAACGACGCAAGACCCTTGGAGGCTGAAGTTGGGATTTTTGTTTGTGCGGCGGCGACCAGTCAAAACGGCAAAGGACGGGCCACAGAGGCAAGGACGCAAGGTATCCTAGATGAACGCGCGCTTCCTTACTAGGCGCGTTGACTGTAAGGCAAGCGACGAGAGGCGGACCAAGCTTCAGCCGCAGCAGTGGGTCACTGCGGGGTGACGCTAGGGTCCTTTCAGGAGGAGAGTGGTGGCACGAGGAAGAGGAGGAGGACAGGGAGGCGAGGAGGGCGGAGGAGGAGGAAGCAGCAGAAGGAGGAGGGGCGGGGAGGTGAGGCCTGGAGCGGGGATTAGACCGTGCAGAGAGGAAGGACGACGGAAGGGCGGGGAGGGGGAACAGGTGGGGGAGGGGAGGGGGAGGGGCGAAGAAAGAGCAGGGGCGACGAGGGAGCAGGAGCGGAAGAGGCGCTTGGGCCCGCTCCAGCGTGGCCCTTCCGGCCCGCGCGCCGCGGCACCCAGCCCCCCCAGCAGGGCACAGTGTCACGTTGAGGGCCGGGGGGAAGGAGCTGTCGGCGATGGCGCCGAGCTTTCCCTCTGGGGGGAGGTGCTGGCAGCAGGAGGGAGGAGAGAGACGTTGCTGAAGTGTTTGTCTGCATTTCGGTTGTGGTATCTCCAAGTCGAGGTCGAGGAGGACCTGGAGGAATTGTATTGTTAATCTCCGCCGTTGTATCTCGAAGTATGTTGCAAGTGTGCTGATGTGGATGATCTGGTTGAAAGACGAACAGACGAGAAACGTCGACGCATGTTCGGCAGTGGAGTGGGACCTGCTCGACTCCGCCGACCCCCGCTTGCCTGGGGGGGTGAACACGCGCGCAAGACAGTCGGCTGTCACCCCTCCCCCACATTCCCCCTCCCCCATGGTCCAAGGTGCCGCTTGACACTCCCAGCGCTCTTTTGGGCCCTCGGAGCCATCCGATCCGCCACGCGTGGCATCGAAGATGCCCACGATGCTTTCCACGATGCCTCCAAAAGGGCGCCAGGACGCTGGAGAGGCCTCACCAACAACCAAAATGGCCTTATGACGGCCAAGAAAGCCCCCAAGACGCCCAAAGACAGTCCTAAAACAGCCTCCCAAAAAGGGCCTCCAGGTGCAAAACCCATGAATGTTCAGATTGGCCAGCGCGGATAAGGTAAAGTACTGAAATGTAAGTGTGGAAGATTTGCGTTACTCGGTGCATTCGATGTGGTTTAATTTCTGTTCGCAATGAGTTGTCCACCCCACTGCTCGCGTAAATATCCCACCCACCCACCCGCAACTTGGTTTGCAAACCTCATGCGGCGGCGAATGAGACGAGTGTTCGGCGCTGGCTGGTGCATCTCTGCGGCCGCGCCAGCCCGCGCATGCGCGCGCAACGGCCTGGTAGTTTGGCGCTACCGACGAGGCCGCGGTGATGCTGACCGCTCGGCACATCCCAGCGGGCACTTGAGTGCGAGTGGGCGGCTTGGGCGGGCGCGGTATCATGGCAACGTCGACAATTGTAGACACGATGACGATGAGACTGGCGATGTTGGACACGACAATTGTAACCCACAATAGTGATGATAGTGGCGATGATGGCATCGATGCCGATCTCGCAGACGGAGATGCCGGCGTCCTCGCGTCGGCGATGCAGGTTTTGGAAGAAATTCGAAATGCGCGTGCGGCAAACGCGCGAGAGCGGCTCGCATGGTATGATTTAACATGGACCGTTCCACCACAGCACGCGCGCAACCGCGTTCGAATGATTTCGACATGCGCGCGCGATTCTCGTTTGGTAGCAGCAATGTATGACAACGTCGAACAACTTCATTCACAAGAGCGCGCGCGCACGCTTCTGTTGAAATTCAGTGTTGCGAAACCACGTGTTTGTTTTATACATTTGGAACATTCGAGTTTGAAATCCTTCCGACACCGCGAGTGTTTGAGTGATTTCGGCATGCGCGCGGGACGACGCGCGCATGCACTTCCTCCCACTTGTGCAAGGGATTCTCGCGACGGCACGCGACCAAGGACGTTCGAACGATTTCGACATGCACGCGCGCGAAGCCCGTTTGGTAGCCGCTTCTTTAAAATGATTTCAGGAGCGCGCGCGCACAAGAGCGCGAGCGAGCACAAGCGCGTGCGCGCGCACAAAGAGCGCGCGCACGAAGCACGTCTGGTTTTCTAGAGAATTCACAAGAACGCGCGCGCACACGTTTTGTTCAAACATCCGTGTTGCGAATTCATGTGTTTTAAGGGTTTTTGAGAGATTTCGGAATGCGCGCGCGGCGCCCCACGCGTATGCACTTCGTCAATTTTTCCACCACGGGCTTTTGGGGGAAATTTCTAATTTGAGATCAGCGAGTGCGCGCGCATAGTGATTTTTTGTTGCAAAAAAACCGAGGGGGGGTCGATCCCGGCCTGGCTGGGATAGTTTGTACTCGCAGGTAAGATGGGCATTGGAACATAATCGTATGTGTTTTACATCGGTTCCCGGTTAGTGGTCAGGTCCGGTGGGGGGACAGTGGTAGAACCCATGTTTTGTTTATCTATGCGGTGCCAAGCTATGTGGTGATGCGGCAACAAGGCGCCCACGGGCGGCAACGCGGCGAAACCTCGGCGGACTCCCCCAAG